CACACACACACACACACACACACACACACACACACACACACACACAAACACACACCCCTCCCCGTCACATCGGCCAAGGCAGCAGCACGCCGTCGGATGCTTTGTACATTATAACTACTTTATTGTGGCCGCCGCTGGATTCGAACTCACGTCTGCAATTCAACAGTTTCATTTGTGCATCAGCTGAGCAACCTGCCACTGTGCAAAATGAGAAGGAATCTTCCGCAAGAACATAGGAAGATACTCCGCGATGGACAGATACATTGAAAAGAAATCCTGGTGTGTGTATGGCCTAAGAAGCTGTCAGATGCAAAGGTCGCCCGGTGAGCGTGCGCGCGCGTGAGAGAGAGAGAGAGAGAGAGAGAGAGAGAGAGAGAGAGAGAGAGAGAGAGAGTGCCTCCATGTTTTTTGGTTTTTTTGGGGGGGGGTGTAATTTTCCAAATACCACCATAAGTTGAGATATATGTCAAAATGTCCCTAAAGGATATGGGCAGAGTGGAATGGCCTTTTGGGCTGACATGTTTGCGTTATGCCCCTGTCAGGTGGGTGTGCAAATTCGCTTGGTCTTTTGCAATTGCACCTACAAAAACTTGGCAACTGCCGGGGCATTTTGCAAAATTGGGCAGCATCCGGTAGGGGTACATTGTAATGTGCAGCAACTTGGCAAAAACGGGCAGAGGTGGAAGAGAGCCAGCACAAGCCGCAGAAGGAGCAACAGAAGGCTCCTATTGGGCCCAGCTGCTTAAGCTGTGGAAAGAGATCTTTCCAGCCAGAGTAAGAGAACCACGCACAAGGGAGGAAATGCTGCGCCAGCCCTTGTTTTGCAACCTGGGGATTAGAGACATGCACGGGAAACCCCTCGCCCTAACGACAAAGGGCACGAAGTGGGGAACGTGCGCGGAACACGGAGTTTGGCAGATCAAACATCTTTGGGCGGAAGACAAACGCCAATGGAAGACAGCCAGGGAACTCAGAGCGGAGCTGAAGGGAAGCCATAGACTTCTGGAAAATCTGAATGACATACTCATATCTATCCCGGAGGACTGGTCAAGGATGCTGCGAGAGACTCTCAATGGGACCTGGGCGACTGGGCCACATGGAGACAGGACAAGGAACCACAAGAAGCGTTTCAAATTTGGAGTCAGGAGCCAGCAAGGAAGGAATGGATAAATGCAGATATGTACACCACCGTCAGACCGGGTAATACCACCAATCTCCTAGACCAGGCTACTAAGTGCCTCGCTCCACCACACAACGCTGTACATGCATGTGGATGCTTTAGCGACCAGGTGCATTCGGACGATTCCAACGTTGTGAATGTATCCGGTCAAGAAAACGTCCAAATGCATGGACAATGTTGTCCAGTGGAGCGAGGCACTAAGACACCGATCACCATCCAACTTCAGCCGCTCCGTAAGGTAAGGGTAGTGGAAATGGAGGACTTCACAATCTTAGCCCCTCCACCTCATTGGAGGAACTGGAAGTCGACCCGGCGGAATGGAATCGGAATCTAAGAGGGGGAAGACTGGGGGTAGCCAGAAGAGTTCATATCCTCCGCTACACCACCCGACTCGGCTACCGTCTGAGAAGATGCCCCCACCCCCTGAGGGCGTCGCTGTCCAAGCGCTGGGAAAACAGGATGGGCTGCGCACTATACCATGGACATCAATCAACAGCATACGGATTGGACGGGTTTGAACTTAGAAGCATCCAGTGGCTAATAACCCACGTAGTGCTACCGGTAAATGCCTGGCAAAATGAGTGCAGAAGCCGAGCACAGAGGAGGGAACCCTCGAACGCCAAATGCGTGGTATGCCAGGAAGGCACCCTAGAGACTATGCTACACTGCTTGCCGACATGTCCAGAGGCAGACAGCTTATGGGAACTGGCCAAGTCCCTCTCCAGGGACAAATAACATCGTTGGCCTTTCCAGAGAACAAAGTCGCTCTGCTGCTACCGTCTTCACCCGAATAGAGCGCCCGGTCATTATAACTGTATCTGGGCTGAAAATTGCACCGAATACGGCTAGAACGATCAGCGTTCTCTTCGGGTAAAGACGGTAGGGAACAATCTTCCAAAGGCTTGGAACCGTTTAAAAAAAGGCTATCTTCCAGCTCCTGAGGCAACCATCTTCACCCGAATAGAGCGCCCGGTCATTATAACCGTATCTGGACTGAAAATTGTACCAGATACGGCTATAACGACCGGCGTTCTATTCGGGTTAAGACGGTAGGGACCAATTTTCCAAAGGTTTGGCAACCATTTGAAATGCTATTTTCCAGCCCCTGAGGCAGTACATACTCTGGACAATATGGAAGAGACGCTGACAGATCACCATAGAAAGGAGACCAATGCACAGGCAGGAGGCAAGGGAGATGTACTATGGACTCCTCAAAACCGACCTTCAGGCGCCATGGAGAAGGTTTGGAAAGGAAAATCCGACAGCACCCAGGGCAGGCGCAAGAATTGAGGACCCGATTTCACCAAAAAAGGGGGTTGGGAGGGGGGGGAAATGGCAACCATGCATGGTTCAAGACTCTCATTCAAATGGGGGTTGCTGGGAACTAATTAGAGCTTTAAGAGAAGAGCCTGAAGCGGGGATGGATGAAGAGACAAGAGGAGAGGTGGAACTAGATTTATCGAAGGCCTTAAACCGCAAGTACACGCCCCCAGCCTTGCAGAAAGTTTTTGTTGCCACAAGCAAGACTCGGAGGGGCCGCATGGCGTGGGGCGCCGTTGAAAAAAAAAATCGGCGGCCTCCGAAGTGGTGCGGGTTTCCTGTTGACACCCGCGGGCTGATGTGAGGTGTACTGGTGCTTGAACAGAGTGGGGTAGGGAAGCTTTATTTAAGGATCACATGAGGAAGTAGGAAAGAGAAGTAGAAGTAGGGGCCAAAGTTAGGGTTTAGGGCTTTAGGGTTTTAGGATAGCGTTTATTTAAGCACCTAAGGAGGAAGATGATTAGGTAAGACAGAAAACGGTAGGGACACTAGAACGGGTTTAGGGCTTAACGTGGGGAATAGGGATTTGGTCTTACTGGTCACATAATAAGCGAAACTGGCTAATGCTGCTTTCTAGTAGGGACACTAGAAAGGATAACTCCGGGTTGAATTGTGAGCCCCCCGGCGTCAAAATTCAAGATATTAATGACAAGACACTGCTTTGCTAAACCAAAAAAAAAAAATGATCATAAGATTGCGTTTGCTCCAGAAATAGAACAGAAAGCAGAGTACAACGGATTGAAGGCAAAGGTCAACGTACATTGTCGATCCGGCAGAGAATTTCCGGACTGGAGGCGACGAGGATGCAGCCACGAGCCTGAGGCAGGGAGACAACCCATGACGACGACAAGTACCAAACACAGAAAGGGTAAGCAAGTGTAGAAAATTTCAGACAAAAATTCGTTTCTCCTTTTTCCTAAAGTTTCCAGAGGGTTGGGGGCTGAGGGTTGAGGAGGTTTGAGGTTTGAGGGTTGAGGAGGGTTAAGGAGGGTTAAGGAGGGTTAAGGAGGGTTAAGGAGGGTTGAGGTAGGAGAGGAGAGGGTGGAGATTTAGGGAGGAGGGTTGAGAATTAGAGAGTTGAGGGTTTATCGCAGAGGAGTTGAGGGTTTGGGGTTTACGGTAGAGGAGTTGAGGGTTGAGGATTGAGGGTTTACCGCTGAGGGTTTACCATTGAGGGTTGAGGATTTACCATTGAGGGTTGAGGATTTACCATTGAGGGTTGAGGATTGAGGGTTTACCGCTGAGGGTTTACCATTGAGGGTTGAGGATTTACCATTGAGGGTTGAGGATTGAGGGGTGGGAGTTGAGGGTTTTAGGAATGGCCAAGTTGGGAACTTGTGATGCAACATGTGAGGGCTAGGAGGGATTTTCCTAATCGAGAATCTCTTTTATGTACATCAAGTCAGGACAGAGGACAAGCAAAGTAGCGACATGAGGTTGGGGGAACAACCTGGAAATAGGAGGTATTTTCCTCATTGAGGATCTCTTACATGGCAAGCTGGGGGCATGACCTTGAAAAACCTTTCCCACTTTCTTTCTTGACTGCACATCACATAAACCACCATCATGCTCTAAAGAGGGAAGGAGACACGAAGGCTGTGCAATTGGTGGCATAGATAGGAGAAGTCTGTTAAGAATGGACGGGAAACGATGGGTGATTGGGAGGACGGGCAGGCGGGCAAGCGGTGGGCAGGGATGAGAGAAGACAGGTAATGACTGGCAGCATGAACGGGCAGGAAAGAGGCAAGGGTAGGCGAATATGGACGATTAGAAGGACGAGCAGGCAGGCAAGAGGCAGGGATGGAAGGTGATGCGTGGCTGAGAGGATTACCACGCAGGCACGACTTGCTGCATGGGTCTTGAGAAGATGAGTGTTCGTGGGGACGGACAGGCGGGCAAGTGGAAGGAACGGGTGAAGATGGAAGGTGACGATTGGCAGGACAAGCATGCAGGAAAGAGGCAGGTATGGGAGAAGGTGGGTGATTGGGGGAGTACGGGCAAGCAGGCACCACAGGGGTGGGAGAAGATACGTGATTGGGCGCAGATGGCCAGGCAGACAAGTCGCAGGCATGGGGAGAAGACGGGTAATTTCCTGGCCGGGCAGGCGTGCAGGCGGACAGGGATGAAAAGGAAAGGATCTCTCCTTTTCCTTCATACTTACTTGCATGTATATCATGTATGGGCTTGGATTGACGACGCGCAATGCACGGTATATCTCAAATGGAGTTGCAAACGTTCTCCGCTCAAACCGCTGGCTGAGCACGAGCTGGAAAATATCCCCTGCCAGAATGTGTTCCTTCGATTTTTCCACCGCCTTCACAAACTCCTCCTTGCTCATGTTCGACTCTGCTGCTTGGTTGCCATGCTTAGCCAGCTTCAGGTCAACAAAGCCAACCTGGAATTGTGAACTGCATTTTGCACTTGCGGGGAAAAAAAGGGGAAAAAGAAAACGAACTTTTAAAAAGTGAACATTATCTTATTTTAAACCACCAGTACAGAAAAAAAAAAAGAAAGAACACCAGTAAAACCACCAGTTGGTACACTACTACACACTGATGAACTGTTGAAATGCAGACCTGGGTTCAAATCCTAGTACATCCTGATGAATGGAATAAATCATTCTGAATTACCTAAGGCCGGTTCGACCGACCGATAAAGATATCCCAAGGCCTTCGTTGTTCTTGGGGGGGAAAAAAAGAAAAGAAAAAAAAGCCTCTTTTTCGAAGTTTTTCCTGATCCGGATTGCCTTTTTTTTCTTTTTTTTTTCCCCTCACCTCACATATCTTTTAACTGGCATTCTGCCATGTCATCATGGAATATATCTTTCTCTTCAGAACCTACCGACCTCTACTCCTAAGGCTATACAGGGGACCCCTGCAAGCATAGCTTTCTACCTCTCTTCGGTGAAGGGAGGTTACCTCCCTCTCTCGGTGGAGAGGGGTAACGGCATGTTTGCCCCTTTGGCCTAGAGTTTAGGGTGCAGGGTTGGGGCCGCCGGTGGGGGTGTGGTTAACACAAGGACCGAGCATTTGCCAGTGACTGTGCCTCCCTTTTCATCTTCCCCCACCCCCATCGAGTAACAGCAGTGTCTAAATGATCCGGATTGCTACTGTACGCCAGAAAAGAAAAAAAAAAGTATAACAAACAAACAAACTGGTGCAGGGCCGCAGGCACAATTTTGTTCTTTTTGGCTGGTGCTGCCAGCCATTTTGGTTCAGTAGGCCGCAACCCCTGTCCAACACGGCGGGTAGACCGCCTCGCCGGAACAAAATAGCTCGGAGGCATACGTGCATGGGTCCTGGGGACCATCTCACGCAGATGTGTACATGTCATGCATCATCTTCACACACAGTGATCAATAATCTCAACCATAGACAAAGGTAGAGAAGAAGAGAACCGAGTCTCACAGCTTATATTATCAGAAATATGATTACAAAGTGCTTCAAAGTTCCCCTGAGTCCAGCGCTCATCAGCGCAACACAGATCTCTGCTCAACTCATCAATATGCCTTCCAAGGCATCAGCGCTACCTCCGCAGATTGTCTCCTAGTCATCAATATGGTCACAACGCATCAGCACCAACTCTGCAGTTCACAACCAACTCAGGTAAGTGTCTCCCATAGCCAAACCTTGAATGAACAGTCTTCGTCTCAATCTCTTCCTCCTACGATGCATGCACACACTGTTCTCTCAAGGATCTACTCTGGATACTACTCATAGCTAAGTACTAACCCTTCTACTCTACTTACTAACTCGCTGGGCAGCATGGCTGCATCCCTTCCAGCGCACAGTCTTCTTCTTTCCTCTTAGCGCATCTTCCTTCCTCCAGCGCTACTCCTACTGACTAACGCACAAGTGCACCAGCACTTCCACGCATTCAAGCCAGTGGAGATCTGGCGAGGAATGAGGCTGGCAGCTTTCTTTATAGTGCTGGCCACTCCTCGCTGGGTCTGCATTGGCTCAATTCAGCCTGTCCTTTGTCCCAGACCCTGCATTGCATGTGTCCCAGTGTAGTCCCAATGAGGTTCGACTGCTGCTGAGGCCTCTCGGCCTAGATTTGGATTTCAAAGTCTGGATCTGGACTGACCCCTTGACTTAGACCAGAACTGGGACTGTGCCTATTGACTTTACTTTCGGACAGGCACAACTCTAAACGAACAGACACATTCCTTCACGAACAGGTACACTGTCTGCACGTACAGACACTCTTACCCGAACAGACATGACATACACAGCTCCTGGTGAACAGGTAAGTCCTTTGACAATGCCCTTTGCCTTAGATTTAGATGTGCCTGTTGATAGAGAACTTGACCTTTGGCCTGCTTTCACGTTTCTGAGCCCTGGCGAGATACCTTTTCACAATGCTTTACTTTTTCAAGGCCCGTGCTGCTTTTCTTTTACAAGGCCTGAGGCCTGCATCGGGTAAAGACCCTTTTATACGGGTGGCTTAAAGTTTAAACTTTAGACCACCACTACCTTGCCCACGGAAACTGAAACAGCCAGCCATTTTGCTCCGGTAGGCCGAGCCCCTGTCAAACGTGGGAATCGGAAATGCGACAGTCCAGGTTCTTTGCACAAACAGTGCTACCAGACCAAAAGAAAAGGAAAACGCCACTGTGGCGGATCGTTTTTTAAACTTTTTTTGCGCCCGCAGGGGGAATCTGCCTCGAGAAGAAGAGGCGCGGAGGTAGTTGTGACACAATTTTTTAAGTGAATTTTTAAGTCTTTGAAATTTGAATCTTCCGTGCACAATCTTCATCATACTATCTATCGTTGGCTCAACGGAATTGGTTTTGTATTACATTTGTAATACTCTTGTATTAATTTAAATAATTTTGTTATAATTTTGTATTAAATTCTAGGCTACCAGAGTGGCCCGGGTCCACTTGCCCGTCCGGGCCAAAAAGAAATAAAAAAATAAAAAAATAAAAATTATTTTTTAATTTATTTTTTTATTTTAAATTTGGTAAAGAATTTCGATGTGACCCTGAGGCAGAAGTTGTTTAGTTTATTTTTCTGCATAACATAGTTTTTTTTAACTTATTTTTTGCTGGGACCTTCCCTGGTCCTTGCACGGGCTGGCCACCCGGGACCCGCGCGGCCCGGCTGGTAGCCTAGATTAAATTTGTAATAATTTTGTATTAACTTTGGAATCATGTATGCAACTTAACGCAAGTATGTATGCCACATCATTGGCCCGCATATTTCGTTCAAAACTTCACACTCAACATGATCGAAGTAATCAACTGTGAATGAACTGCCATCAACGGCTGCGAACGTTTGTCTCATGAATGATGATGGTTCGATCAACAGTCAGGCATACTCAGCACAATATGGGGGGACTGACGAGTCCATTTTTTTCACACCCTGAAGCACATGTCAAAACCATCCCCTTTCCCTCACTTTCCTCCCCCCCTTCCATTTTTTTCACACCCTGAAGCACATGTCAAAACCATCCCCTTTTCCCTCACTTTCCTCCCCCCCTTCTGCCTCCTTACCCCAAGCCCCCCTCCTCTCCCCGGCCGCCACAATCGCCTTTCTAATCCAAAAAACTTTAAAAAAGCTGGATCCATGATGCAATCGACTGTGGCATATCGCTGGCAGCGATGGACATTCAGCACCGTCAAGGAGCGAGGGAATTCACGCATTCCCGGACACAGCTGTTTTCCCCGAGCGTAGAGTGAATCAGATGGGGGGTCGTGGGTGGTTGTGGATCCCCCACAAACCCCAAGTTGGTGGGAAGAGGGAGCGGCATTGTCTTCTTTGAAAAAACCTTGCAGTCACCGGAGGGAGGGAAGCAACCCAGAGAAGGGGAGGCATTTTATCGTATCCATGCACCTCCTCTTCTGAGACCTCGTGCCACAGCTCAGGTCCGCGCCCACAGCTGAACAGCCATGAGCACTCTGGCACAGTCAGACGAGGTGTAGCCAGGTAGGAAAAGACCGGAGACAGACGTGAGCAGGAGAGTACATGTTTGAAGGGAGAAGGAGTGGGGAAGGAGAGGGAGGGGAGGAGGAGGGGGAGGGGAGGGCAGGGGCGAGGGCAGGGGGTGCGGAGGTGGCTGGCCTGCACTTGACACAGAGAAAACAATGCAACCGGGAGGCATAGTCCAAGGGGGGGAGAGGGGGATTACACAAGGAGCACGGCGAGGTTTCAAGAAAAGATGGATGACAAAGGGATAACCTACTGTGAGTGTAACCTAGGGTAAGAAGAAAGGGGAGGGAGGGGGGAAATGCACATACATGATATATCTGTGTCTGTTTCTATTTTTAGAAACATATCCTTGGCCTTGTCCTGAGTGCAGAAAAATCCACTTGAGATTCCATTCATTGTAGAAATCACCTCGAGAGCGTTCAAACTCTGGTTGGAAAGTGTGGACGCTTTTTTGAAGATTTTTCTAGATGGTGACAGTGCTGGGTCGGCAACCGGCCAGTTGAGCTACCCCGGTCCAACCGGAGCCGGACCAGCCCAGGGGGGGTCAACCGGGAAACCGGTTTTGAAAAAAAAGTGCCCAAATATCTTCTTTTTTTTTTTTCGGCAGATTCCGACTGTGCTCTTCAAGAGCTGTCAGAATCCGCAATAAAATTTTCAAGGTGCAAGATTTTTCAGGGGGCTTCCAGAGGGGGGCAGGGGGTTATTAATACTTATTATTGACATATTCAGGCAACAATGGCTTCCACGGGAAGGGGTCAAGTAAGCAAGTTCACTTATCCAACCCCCCCGTGGCTGGAGCACTCTGTGGAGTGTGTCATTTGATATTGATACCCCACGAGCTGAACCAGATATGATGAGCGGAGGTCCTTGCCAGAAGTTATAGCTCTTCCAGAGTATAACTCGACAGCAGAAGAGTTTTGGTTCCAGCTTTCAGCTCGTGGAGGCAGAGCGTTTTCTGTTTGTTGGTTTCTACATAAGGTGAGTTATCAGTCCGGAAGTATCTTGCCTGGCAGTCTGTCCAGATACATGTAGTGGAGCAAGGTCCATTCGAGATAGATAGAGAGAAGAATATAGCTTAGGTCCATTCTTGGGCTTGCACCTCGGACGGCTCTGACATCACAATTCCAAAATCCGAACCCATAACTTTTTCCACAGATGGCAGGGACGTCGCAGAAGGATATAATATCAGCAGAGCCTCATCATAAACATAGTGTTCCCCTCGTGGCTGAGGGTGAAAGAGCATCAGATGTTGCCAATGGCAACTGGTCCGTTGGACCACAAGATGACAAATTGGAGAAGGGGCCTACCCGAACCACATCTTAAGAAAAATGTGTGGCGGTTCTCCGCTGCTGATCTGCAAAGATCAGCGTTGGATATCCTCTGCCCGTTTTTCTTAAGAAATAGGGTCCTGGCCGATCTTTGCCGCTGATCTGCGATGATCGGCGGCCAAGATTGGCCACTTTTTGGACTTGAAAAATCCGGGCCTACAGGACCCGTTTTCAAAATTGCGGGGCAGGGCCCACCCCCACAAGGCCTCGGGAACACATACGCGCCGGCAAAAAAAAAAATTCAGGCCCCAGCGAAAATGCACTGGGGGCAACCGGGAGGGAACCGGCCCGGGCCACCGGCCGGTCCAACCGGGAGGACCGCGGATGGGGTAGGGGTCCTCGGTCCATCCGGGGACCAGCCCTGGTTTAAACAACAACACAAAAAAACAAATGTGAAAAAAATAATAATAATAAAACAACAACAACAACAACACAGGTCACCACTGCAAGATGCTGAGACTAACCCGGTTATGCACCCTTCCAATCGTGCGACCATGCCTTCAAGCTTTGCTTGACCATCTTCATATGCACTTTCCACACTAGGATAGTTTTCTAGAGGTACCCACTTCACGACATAAATAATCTGTAACCGAACACACAGACAGACACACACACATTTTGCATGATTTTATGTAGAGTTCTGTATGCTACTGTATAGCGAACATGACAACACACACACACACACACACACACACACAC